GTCTCGCCGTGTCTGACGGCTGTCTGGGTGACATGCTGCTATCTCATGTTTTGCAGGCATCTGAACACTGCTTCTGGCTAAAGCGCGATTGCTGGAGTGAAACAGCTGACAGCAGAAGCAATGCATTGAAGCAGAATAGGGGAGCTGATCTCGCCTGTCACATCCTTTGTTGGAAAACTGGCAGGAGGTTGGAAAGTGCAAGGTTTTCTTCCATTCCCATCCGAAGGGCAGGCCTTGCTCCAGTCCAGCATGCACAAGAGTAGGTGACCGCTGTCGCTGATTCCTGACCAGGGTGCTCAGAAACCCACAGGGAAGGAAAACTCTGTGTCTGCCACAAATAACTGCGCGATTGCACCAGGTTGCTACTTCTCTGGGGGCATATCTGCATTTACTGATGGGATTGCCTCCATCGGTTGATTTTTTTCTGCCTCCTCATGCTGCCCCTTTGCTCCCCAACATGATTTCATTGCTCTTAGCAATGCTTTCCAGTTCATTTTCCTTTTAGTGCTCTGGCATTCCTCAAGGTCGGTATCCACTTATGGTCAGTGCAGCGCGACTCATACTGTCACGTTGCCCATCTGGCAAGTCTCACCACCTTCCAGTCATCGGGCTTGATGTGCAATCTTGCTGCTTCCATCCATCCCCCACATCCTGGCTTTCCCTGGGAGTCTTCATGCAGCTGGTGGTGGTCTCTGTGGATCAGTGCTCCTGGGTCTGTAGCCAGGCTTGGGGGGTTTCAGTTGCACACCCACTCTCATTAGTATGTGAGACCACCCACGGCACTGAGGTCCGGCCTGTGGGTTGGAAGTAGCATCCAAAATGAATGGCCTGGACACATGGCACATCCACATGGTAACCTGCCCTTATGCTGGTATGAAAAAATGAGCGGGCATATAATGGGTAGCCCCCCAAAAAACACAGCAGTACACTACCTAGCGGCATTTGGTGCCAGCAGAGGCTGGGGGTCATGGCACTGTTCTGTGGTTCCGGGGCCGTGGGTTCAAGGCGTGCTCCAAAGTCAGGCCGAAAACTGCCACCCTTGTGTAAAAACTTGCAAAGAAGATTTTTTTTTCCAACTATTTGAGTTGGTCTAATACAAGATATCAGATTTACCCAGAGGACCTTGTCTGCCCTTGCGTGACTTTGCCTATACAAGCCAGGTGTTGTGGTTTCCATCAGCTGCAGTGGCCTGCTCATTGCAGATGACTCCTTGTCCTGATTTGGTACACTTCTGTCCCTGCAGGCCACCCGCTCCGGAGCACAAGGGAATCCCTGGCCCCTCTGAAGCAAGATATGCCCCAGGGAGGCTTGTAGAGGGGATGGGCAGCTGCGTGCCCCCTGACCCAAACTCCCAAATCTCCAGGCTGGGTCAGACATGCCAGGCTGGATTGGCCCTCTTTGTGGTCCAGCTCTGCCCGGGAGGGGGCCAAATGTTACCCAGTCCTGAATTACACTACTGTAATGTGGTGCTTTTGCACTGATACCAGTAGAGCGTAGGCAATAGCCCTGAGCAAACTGATAAGAGGGTACCACAAGTTAATGTGTCCCCAGGGCGTGAGGCCTCCTGCTAGGTGTCATTCAGGAATAAAGCAGTGCCTGCCCCTGCTCCAGAGAGCTTATCATCAATACAAACTAGGCATGTACAACTGCATGGATGTACGCACACATGTGCATACACACACGCACACACACATGCAACAGCGGTGTGCTTTGCAAGCATCACATAGGTCCTTCTTGTCTAATGGTTTGTTTTTATATTGCTGGGTGGTGCATGGTGTGGTGCCCTCCCTTCACCAGCCATGCCATGCAGCAGACACCCACTCCCACCCTCCCCTTGAAACTGGGGGAGGCCTGAGACAACCCTCCCCAGAAGACGCGTGTTGGTTGGGACAGCGGGCAGGCCGGGGCCCACTGGGAAAAGGGGAGTTGGGGTGGGGGTGTTTCACCCCTGGCCCGCCCAGCCAGTAGCAGCACATGCTTCTTGTCAAGCCCTGCTGAAGGGGCTTAGGCACATGCCGAAAAACAGCAGCCCCAGGGTCGGGTGACGCAGAAGCCCTGTCTCTGCAGTAATTTCATGCTGTGGAACAGCAGTCACGTGCTGGCACACATTGTACACAGGCAAATAAAGGCAGCGAGTCATGTGTACTCATGCTGGAACGTACTATTTGTTCCTTCTCCGCCCTAAACTCGCAGGGCTGCTAGTTGGGTGCATGGCCAAAACACCTCCGGGTGCATGTGAGGGTGGGTGGCTGTGGGTGTCAGTGAGCTGCAGGGTGTCAGCTGGTGTGAAATGCACAATAAGCCCACGTCCCAGTGAAGGAGGTGGGGGGGAGGCTCACCAGCAGCCGCTCCGTCATCCTGCCATGCGCCTAACAGCTGGATCTTCTGCTGCGGTTTTGATCATGCTGTGCAGAGCAGACAGGATGTGTGCTGTGCTGCATCCGGGTCTCACAGGAGCATGCGGTGTACTAGAGGATGTTTGCACTGCATGTACTAGAGACTGCAAAAGAGCGAGAGAGAGAGTGAGCGAGCGCTGGGTTTCATAGGGGTACACAGTGTCATTGTACTAGAGACCACAAAAGTCGTGTGTGTGCATGCATGCATGCATGCATGCCTGCGTGTCTGGGTTTCATAGGTGCACATAATGTCATTGTACTAAAGACCACAGAAGCCGTGTGTGTGTGTGTGTGTGTGTGTGTGTGTGTGTGTGTGTGTGTGTGTGTGTGTGTGTGTGTGTGGGTGTGTGT